AACAAAATTTTTCATTCCATATACCTTCGTCCTTTTCTTTTTCTTTACTTAATACCAGTACCTCTTTACTGTTACCAATTTTTTTTGAGTCAGGTTTTCTCTGTATTGTTTGAGGCTGTCAGACCAGCCTGGCCTCGAACTCACAGAGATCTGCCTGCCTCTGCCTCCCAAGTGCTGGGATTAAAGGTGTGTGCCACCACTGCCCAGCTTGTTACCAATTATTTTTTTTTTCCGAGACAGGGTTTCTCTGTATTATTTGGAGGCTGTCCTGGAACTTGCTCTGTAGACCAGGCTGGCCTTGAACTCAAGAGATCTGCCTGCCTGTGTCTCCCGAGTACTGGGATTAAAGGCGTGTGCCGCCAACGCCCGGCTATTCACCCATTTTCAATCCAACTTTCAACCCAGGATGTTCCCTCATAAAGGCGTGTTGGGATTAAAGGCGTATGCCACTGGGATTAAAGGCATATGCCACTGGCAATCTCTTGGGTTCCCCTCTTTCCTGGCCTTGGTCAGGCGAAGGCCTTGAGATTTAATGTGATCCACCCTCCAACTGAGGGCAACCTCTCAATTTTTCTTTCTTACTGGAGATTTAATCGAATCCACCCTCCAACTGAGGGCGATCTCTCAGGGTCCCCTTACTTTCCTGACCTTTGTCAGGTGAAGGCCTGGAGATTTAATCCGGTACCCCTGGTTTGGTACCCCTTTTTAACACATCCGCATAGCCTTACTGGCCAGGCTTTTAGATCTCTCAGTTCCCCTTTACTTTCCTGACCTCAGTGGATCAGGCGAAAGACTGGAGATTTTTTTTTTTCTTATTTTACCCTTTTCTTTTTCTTTTTCTTTTTCTTTTTTTTTTTTTTTTTTTTGACTGGGTTTCTCTCTATCCTTTTGGAGGCTGTCCTGGAACTGGCTCTATAGACCAGGATGGCCTCCATCCTACCTACCTCTGCCTCCGGAGTGTTGGGATTAAAGGCGTGTGCCACCAACACCCGGCTCTCTGAAAATCATGGCAAACATCCTCCCAATCTGGGACACTTAAGCCTCCCCCAATAATGAACCATGGACTCACACATTCAATCCATTTTAGAAGGCCTTCCATGGTTGTAGTCCTCTGTTCTTCAAGTAACTTTTTTTACGTGATACTGTAATTTAAACTTCCAGGGACTATTTCCCATCGTTTCTTTTCCTATTTTCCTCCATCTGTCCCTGGCTGGCAAAAGGGATGACCCTGTCCACTTACCTCGCTTTCACGATCTTGGTAGGACCTCCAATTGTCGCGTCTGCCACGCAGCCTGTGTCCGAGAATGTGCGGAGGGTGTCGGGGATTGACAACACAGAGACTCGTTCAACGATGTAAAGAAAACTTTAAGCAGGCCCCAAAAAAGGTTCAAGAAAACTTCCTAAGAATGGCTCCCACCAGAGAAGCTTCTGCTCTCTCCTCTACCCTGGCTGGTTCTGCTCTGACCCCAAAAACTGATCTGGGCGTGTCAGAAGATGGGGTTAGTCTTTGGACAAGGTGGAGGTCAGGGCGGTTTCCGTGGGCAGGCCTTTTCCAGGAACTTATTGCCCCGGGCATTGTATTGTTTTTAGTAAACATGTTTTTAGTAAACATTGTCTTACAGCTGCCTACTCCCAGGCTGAAGGCGAAGTGGGTCTCTGCTCAAGGTCTGGTGTTCCCACAGAGTGAGAGATAAGGATCTAGTTTTCTTCTCTATGCTACTATCCTATTTTACCAGCACATTTTTTTGATGGTGCTATCTTTTCTTCAGTGTATAGCTTTGGCCTCTTTGTCAAAAATCAAGAGGCCATATATTGGATTTGTTGTATGGGTTTATATTGGGGTCCTCAATTCTATTCCATTGATCATGTCTGTTTTTATAACAGCAATATGCTGTCTTCATTACAATAGCTCTGTAGTATAGCTCATAATTAGGGATAGTGGTACCTCCAGCAGTTCTTTTATTATTTCAAATATGTTCACTGTTCTGATTTGTGTGTGTGTGTTTCCATATACATTTTAAGATTAATTTTCAATTTCTCTGAATAAATTGTTGGAATTTTGATGGAGATTGCATTTAATCTATAAATTGCTCTTGGTAGGGTGGGAATTTTCACACTATCAGTCCTGCCAATCCATGAACATGGGAGATCTTTCCATCTTAAGTTTCTTTCTTCAGTATCGTAAAGTCTTTATTATACAAGCCTTTTACTTCCTTGGTTATATTTATTCATATATATTATTCTACATACTACACACACACACACACACACACACAGTAGGTGAATGGGATTGCCTCCATGATTTTTTTCTCAGTACAAACTGAAATTTCTGTCTGTATATAAGAAGGCTACTGATTTGTGTGTGTTAGTTTTAAAGGTGTTCTTCAGCCTTAGAGGGCTTCTGGTGGAGTCTTGAGGGTCTTTCATGTATAGAATCATCTACAAATAAGGATACTTTGACTTCTTTCTTTCATATCATCTTTTTTATCTCCTTTACATGTATTGTTGTTCTAGCTAAGACTTCAAGCCCTATGTTCAATAGGGTTGGGGAGAATGATCATCCTTATCATGTTTTTGATTTTAGTAGAAATGCTTTGTGTTTATCTCTAACTTGATGTTGGTTGAGCTTGTAATATATTGCCTTTAACGTGTTGAGATATGTCCCCCATATCCCTAGATTCTTCAAAAGGGAATTTGGAGAAGGGATTTTGAATTTTGGCAAAAAGCCTTTTCTGAATCCAATGAGATGATCATATGGAGGTTTTAGTTTTTGCTTCTTTTGAAGCAGGGTCTCATTGTGTAGCTCTGGTTGTCCTATGAAGACTTGACTGGTCTCAAACTCAGAGATCTGCTTATGCCTGCTTCCTAAAGTCATACATCATCATGCCTGGCTCAGATTACATGTATTGACTTATGTGTCTTGAACAATCCCTGCATCTCTGGAATAAAGCCAACTGGATCATAGTAGATAATCTCTTTGATGTGCTTTTGAATTTTGTTGCAAAAAATGTTTTATTGAGAATTTTATCTTTGTGTTAACATGTTGGTCTATAATTTTCTTTCTTTTTTTGTTAAATCTTTGTCTGCTTTTTGTCTTTTTGTGCAAAAGCAATGTTGACTTTAAGAAAAAGAATCTAGAATTGTTCCTTCCTTTTCTATTTTACAGAATAACTTGGGGGTGTTGATGTCAGTTCTTCTTTGAAGCTCTTGTGGACTTTTGAGCTGTATCCAGATGATACTGGGTTTTGTCAGTTGGGGAAATCTTTAATTACTGCTTATATCTTGTTGGTTGTTATGTGTCTAATTAAATTATTGTTCCATTTTATTTAACTTTGGTAGGTCACATATGTCTAGACTTTCCATCTATTTTAAAACATGTTTTTATGATTATTTTAATTTCTTCTATCTGTTGTAGTGTTTCCCCTTTGATCTCTGATTTTATTAATTTGGTTAATTTGGATAAATGTGTTAATTAAATCTTGTTACTCTTTTCAAAGAACCAGCTTTTTGTTTCTTTGATTCATTGCATTTTTATTATGATTATGATGATGACGATGATTATTATTATTATTTTGCTTTTTCAAGACAGGGTTTCTCTGTTTTGTTTTGGAGGCTGTAGACCAGGATGGCCTCGAACTCACAGAGATCCTCCTGCCTCTGCTTCCCGACTGCTGGGATCAAAGGCGTGCGCTAACAATGCCCAGCTTGATTCATTGCATTTTAAAAATTTCTATTTTACTAATTTCAGCTGTGATTTCAATTTTCTCTTCCCATCTATTCATTTTGGGTATTATTTGCCTTTTTTCAAGGCCTTCTGGTACACCATTAAATTACTAACATAAGATCTCCCCAGTTTTTTTTTTCATGTGGGCACTTCCTTAGCACTGCAAAGTTTGCTCTTATGACTGTCTTCATTGTATCCCAATACATGTTGGTATCTTATTTTTTTCCATTTTCATTCAATTTGAAGAATTTTTAAATTTCATTCTTGATTTCTTCCTTTTTTAGCTTTCATGAGCTTGTTTATCTCTTACCATCTCTACTGTTGTTGACATCCAGCTTTATTCCAAGTGTTATTTTAATTTTTCCAAAGTTGTTAAAATGTATTTTGTGTCCAAATATTTAGTCAACTTTGGAGAACATTCATTGGACATCTAAAAGGAAAATATGCTCTTTAATTGGACATTGAATGTTCTTTAAATGTCTGTTAGATCCATTTGATTTATGATGTCATTCAGAACTGAGTTTCTTCGCTTAGTTTTTGTCTGTCTATTGATGACAGTGCAGTATTGAAGTTACCTACTATCAATATGTTGGGGTCAATTTGTGATTTTAGGTTTAAAAGTGTTTCTTCTATGAAATATTATTGGGTGCCCCTGTGTTGGATGAATAAATGCTCAGAACTGTAATATCCTCTTGGTGGATTTCTTTAAAAAGCCATGAAATGTTCATCTATCCCATGTCTGACCAGTTTTTGTTTGAAATCTACTTGTCATATATTAGAATAGTTATGTCTATTTGTACTTAGTTCCATTTGCTAGGATTACCTTTTGCCACCCTTTTACAATAAGGTGGTATCTTAGTTAGGATTTCTCTTTCTGTGAGGGGACACCATGACCATGGCAACTGTTTTAAAGGAAAACATTTAATTGGGGTGGCTTGCTTATAGTTTCAGTGGTTCAGTCCATTATCATCATGGCAGGGAGCATGACAGCATGCAGAAAAGCATGGTGCTGACTACATCTTGGTCAGAAGGCAACAGGAAATAGACCCAAGGTCACACTGAGCAAAACTTAAGCAAAAGAGACCTTAAAACCCATCTCCACAGTGACAAACTTCCTCCAACAAGGTCATACCTACTCCAACAAGGCCATACCTCCTAACAGTGCCACTCACTATGACTTTATGGGGGGCAATTACATTCAAACTACCACAGGTTGTATCTACCATTAATGGTGAAATGTGTTTTTTAGAGACAGAGGCAGTAAAACGATGGACCCTGTTTTTTAATCCAGTCTTTTATTCTGTATTTTTGGAGGGGTTGGGGGATTCAGTATGGCTGATAATTTTTCTGGGCATTATACTCTGGGCTGGCATCTGTAGTCTTTCAGAATGTGTAGAGCACCAGTCTAGGGCTCTCCTTTCCTTCTTTCTTTCTTCCTTCCTTCCTTTCTTCCCTTTCTTCCTTCCTTCCTTTCTCTCTTTATTTCTTTCCTCTCTGTCTCCATTGAAAAGCCAGTTGTTATTCCAGTGCCAATGCTTTTGTATGTCACTTGACTTTCTTCTCTGGCAACTTTTAGTACACTTTCTTTTTTCTGTTTATTTGGTGTTTTATTATGAGACACAATGGCTTTCTTTTCTGGTCCTATTTTAACATTTTCTTAGACTGAGTTCCTCTACCTTGTCTTTAAGACCTGATACTCTCTCTTCCATATGATCCATGGTTAAGCTTGCCTCTGAGCTTTTTGTTTGATTTCCTGAGTTTTTCATTTTGTTTTACTTCAGTTTGGTTCTTCTTCAGAGATTCTACCTCCTTATTCAATTCTCTTTTCGTATCTTGAATTTTTTTCATGGTTGCTCCAGTTCTTTGTGTTTCTCAAGTCTTCGTTTAGGCATTTACTCATATCTTCTTTTGTAACATGTTGCCTTCCCCGCCATCTGCCTGGGCCCTGCCACAGTTGTAGTCCCCAAATAACACACAAGACACTATATTAATTACGAAGCTGTTGGCTGTTTGCTTACTTTATTACTGGCTAGCTCTGACTTAAGTATTTAACCCATAATTGTTAATCTAAGTATTTCTCTTACCAGAGAAAAGGGTCCTGACCTCTTACTCTAGCAGCCTACATGGTATCTGCCTGTATCTCTCTTTCCCAGAATCCTCCTCAACTCCTAGTCCCACCTATCTTGCTTCCCTATTGGCCAAAAGTGCTTTATTGACATATACACAGGACTTCCCCATCATCTCCTCTTTTCTGTCTAAGTAAAAAAATAGTTTTAACTTTAACATAGTCAAATTATATATAGCAGAACAGTTATCAAGCAAGAACTATAGTTATAATATTTTGTTCATTAACATTTAGTAAGATTCAAAGAAAATATCATCTCTCCTATCTTTGTGAGTCTAAAGTCTTATATGTAACTTATCTTTTATCATAACTAAGGAAAGCTATAACTACAACTATCTGTCTTCAACTCCATCAAAGACCACAGAAGGATAATACATAAACACTAGAATTGACAGAGACATCTCGTTACCTGGACAGTCACCCGAAGTTCCTCTGTAATGTTGGGACATCCATCTTCAGCCCATAGGCCACAGTGTGTCTAGAAGACTTCTCAGCAAAGCAGGAAATTTCAAACTGTCCATCTGCATTGGCAGGCATTTTTCTATGTCCTGCACAAAGTCTGGCAGACTCTTCCATGAAGCAGGAACCCTATAGGATTGTTTGAGTTTAGCAATCACTTTCCTGTGGTTCCTGCATATCCAGTTTAATACAGCAACAGTCAAGCAGTCCAAGCAAGAGCAGTTTCTTGCCCAAATGGCTAATCTTGCCATGTTGAAAGCAAACTCCATAACAAGTTTCTTTGATGCTCATCTTCCTCTCAGATGTAATTGGTGCTGCCAGGAGCAGACATTTATCATTGTCCAAGAAAAACCCTAAACCATTTTAAATGCCATTTTCTGAAAGTTTTTGAAAGGTTTTAAGACTGTATCTATCTCAAATACATCTCTATATCTAGGAAACCTAACTAACCTAACTATAAATTCTGACTATTATCAGTAAATATCTATAATCTGTATTTAATTATGCATTACATTTTAAAAGATCAGTATAAGCACAATACTTAATCAAGAGGAGAAATATACGTATCACAAAATTGACCTTGAATTTGTATCAATAAATGAAAACCATACCAATACAAAGTATTCATTTCCATACCATAATTCCCCTTTTACCTTTAAAAAGAGATTGGTTGTGATCATTAACCAATTACAAGCAAACTCATTCAAATGAAAACAAAGATTTATAAACAATATTTGGGAATTTGGATGTTGCTCATTCCAAACTGCTTCCTGCTGATTCAGATGCTAGACTGCCTGTATATTGCTTCAGGGGGCCTTGCTTCATCAAACCACAGAAGCCTGGAAGGAATCCACAGCTTTTCATTTCCTGTGGAAACAGAAATAAAACATCTTTTCTAAAGTAACATATCCTTATACTTAAATTTTGAAGTCAAGGCATTTGCAATAAGATATAAGTTGAATTAATTCAGCAGCATTTATAACCAAGTGTACTTTAGCAGTTGTTCCTTCTTTGGCAATCAAAAAACTGAAAGACACAATAGCATACAGTATCCAGACTCTCTGTGTATTTTCCATCTTTACATGGCTTATTTATTTATCTATTATTATTACTCTATTTCTTTTACTTTTATTTATTTATTTATTTCTCTGAGACAGGGTTTCTCTGGAAATCTGCCTGCCTCTGCCTCTGGAGCAAATCTTACTGGCGTGTGCCACCACAGCCGGCTTCTCTCTCTCTCTCTCTCTCTCTCTTTTTTTTTTTTTTACTACTGTCCTGTTTCTTTTTCTCTCTTAAACCTAGGTAATTTTTAAACACACTGTAAACCTTTAGAGGTTTTTCTTCATTTGAATCTGACTTTACTGTAAATCTTTATGTTTTTCTGGCCATGTGTCTTATCTGTTAAAACCGGCTGTTTAAACTGTAGCTTTTCCAATATGGCGGCATAAGTTTACCACACTGGCCATGGAAGTCTGTTTGTCTCTAGCAAAACAAAGCCCACCTGAGAAAAATGCTGCTTACAAGAAGCCGTGCTTCTCTCTGTTCTTCTGTTTCTCAAATCCCTTTAAAGCTTTTGTCATTCTACGTGGAAATTCAATCCCACTCCTGACAACCATATGTAACTTGAACATGTTTATAATTGCTATTTTGAAATTATTTCCTTGTGCATCAGCTAAGTTGATTTTCTTGGGGGTTATGATGTGGATTCTAATTTCTGGAAAAGGCATATCATCTTCGTTATTCTTGTTGTTTGTGAGTTTGCAATGGGATCTAGGTATCTGGAATTTTAGTCATTGGTGGCATTTTCTGATAGGAATATGTGGTCGTTCTTGAGTATTTAGGTCTCTGTTTGCTGTTACCCCACTTTGTCAGGTTGTACACTAACTCAATGTTTCTTAATGTACAAATGGAGTGTGAGAAGTGACCGGAGTTCAATTAGACACAGGCACAACTTCTCAGCACAGGAACAAGTTCAGAGATTCTTGCTGATGATTTTCAGGTGTCTCTGCAGTGCTCACTGGATTTTTCAAGTGGCATTTGAGTGGCAGAGAATGGAGCCACAATGAAAGTGAAGGTACTCCGTGGGACAGAGCACAGGATGCCTTACTATCCTAGACAGAGGTGGGCAAGGTTGAGTCCAACCCAAGTCCTAAGCACACTGAACCTACACTCTGGATATTCTCTTTCTCTTAGGATATTCTTCTGCTCCCACAGAAAAAAGCTGCTTGCAGATTTATCTCCAGCTCAGAAAGTTCGACTTCCTTCTCTTACTCATCTTCCACCTCCTGGCAGCTGCCAAGTTTTCATTCAGACTCTAATGGTCCTTGAGCTTAAAAAAGTTTCCTCCTATGTTTTTCTTGCAATAATTCATTTGACATAGTAGCCCTAATTGGCCTGGATATTTTTGTAAAAACCAGGCTGGCCTTGACCTCACAGAGATCCACCTGCTTCTGCCTGTGCTGGAGCAACAGGTATGTGCCACCTCATCTAGTGATTATTATTTTTATAACAGTATTAGAAGCAAAGAACATTGAAATTGAAATGATTGTTTCACCTGCACAGTGGTGTTTTCTCAAAATTATAAAGACAGTGAACATTTGGTAATATGTTTTCCAAGTGGACTTTTAAAATTAAGTCAATATCTTTGTTCAGATGCTAGGCATAGACTGTAAAAGGAAGTTCTTAACATAGAAATGTTTTAGCTTCATCCATCTATCTTATGTCCATCAATCATCTTTCTATCTATCATCTATCTGTCAATCATCTATTTATCAATCAATCTATTGATCTATCACCTATCAATCTATCATCTATCACCTATGTGTCTGTCTATCTTGTGTCTGCTATATGTATCTGTGGGATAGGTTAAATATGCCAATGTGGGATTGGAAGTCAGAGGAGTATGTTGTGGTGCCTGCTCTACTATTCTCTGCCTTATTCTCTTTTGGGGTGCCTGTTCTATCATTGTCTTCCTTATTCCCTAGAGAAAAGTCTCTCACTGGCCCTGGAGCTAGGCTGGCGCCAGCAAGCCCCAGTGACCTCCTATCTCCACCTCCCACAGCCCTAGAGCTGCAGGCACTTGTATTCTCTGCTTTTTACATGGGTGCTGAGATTTGAACTCAGGTACATATGAGGCAAACTCTTACCTGCTCTTGCCCATTCAGCTTTCACTCCAGTCTAATAAAGCTTTTAAAGATGTGTTCAAATTAGCATGTAACCTACCCACATGCTAAGTACTCAGGAAATTTAAGCACAAATCATGATTAATAAGCACAATCAAGTCACTACTCTTTACTCCAAGAAAATGAGAGTCTGTTCACTATACTAGTATGCTCTGATGAACAATCACTACTAACACAGATTACTTTATTTCCTACATGATTTAGAGTGAAAAGATACTCCAATGTCAAATTTTAATAGTGTACCCTATATAAACCCTTAATAAAACCTAAATCATCTTCACTAACTCTTGAGATATATTTATATTTTATCTCCCTTAATTATAACCAATGAGATGCTTATTGTGATAAATAATTTACTACTTAATTATGTTTTTCAGACACTATAAAGTAGAAGATGCTGGTATAGCATGCATAACTGAAAACAAAGAAGAAATCAAACATGAAAAAAGTCTTGGAAAAAGCACACAACACTCAAAACCCAGTGTGGACAGAAGACGTGTAGATTATGCTAAATTCATTAACACAAATGCAAGAACATACAATGAGCCAGTTCCCTACATTGATCATAAAGGACCAGCAAAGCAGGTTGGACAGATGTTTGCTATGTACAAATACAGTTAGACTCAGAAGCTGTTTTGCAGGACAGTTTGGTCACAGTCTATTTAAAGGACATGATGCATCTCAAAGTGGTGCCGTTGTAACCAGTGGTTACTGCTTGGTTAGAGCAGTAACCTGGAGCTTTTCTGGTGGAGAACTGGGCATCTAAGCTCTGTTTGTGTATTTGGGAAGAACCAGTCACCTCCCCGAGAACGTCACATGCCTTCTCCATGTGTACCTGTAAAAGATTTAAGAAAAACTTGCTAGGAATAAGATAAATTTATGTATATTCTTCAATCCCTACAACAATTCTATGAGACATTATTGGAAGTATTCTACAGCTAGTACTCCAGTGTAGTTACAAAGTAAGCAGATACTACAGTCTTCTTTTTGCTGGCAGTGCCCCTTTCCAATGTGAAACAACTATTCACACGTTCACAGATTAACACATGAGCGAATGTGGTTGACCAGAGGAACATTTTTCTGACTATATTTTCACTGTAGATTTCACCCATTCTAGTGTATAAGACGTGTTACCCACCATAAGCCAGCTGTGGGATGCTGCCTTTGCCTGCAAACTTCCTGAGCTTATGTGTGTATGACCTCTCCCCCACTCCAGAATGACAATTACAAAACCGGCCTGCTTCTGTAATTTTACCATTTCTAGGGAGCCATACAAATTAATCTGTACAGTTTGTGGCTTTTAAAAAATCCTCTCAGGCCGGGCGTTGGTGGCCCACACCTTTAATCCCAGCACTCAGGAGACAGAGGCAGGAGGATCTCTGTGAGTTCGAGACCAGCTTGGTCTACAAGAGCTAGTTCAAGGACAGCCTCCAAAGCCACAGAGAAACCCTGTCTCGAAAAACCAACCAAACAAACAAAAAAATCCTCTCAGAGCCAGGTAGTGGTAGTGCATGCCTTTAATTCCAGCACTGGAGGCAGAGTTCAAGACCAGCCTGGTCTAAAAAGCTACACAGAGAAACCCTGTCTCAAAAAACAAAACAATCCTCTCAGGAAAAAAAAAGAAAAAGGATTTACAGTTTGCCCATAGGCTGCATTCTCTCACTTGTTCACCTTTCTTCTGCCTCTCTGTGTTTTCTGTCTCTGGGCAAATAAGCTTCAATCTCCTTATCAATGGAGCAAAGATAGTAATCATCTCCCAGAGAGGTTTGTGTCTCTGTGGTGTGTGTGTGTGTGTGTGTGTGTGTGTGTGTGTGTGTTCGTTGTGTGACAAAACATATCCTGGGGAGATGTAACACATACATCTACTCACCCCAGATAAGGAACCCATGACATACCAAAGTGCAGATAACACCAAAGTCCAACTTAATGAACCAATGAGAACCTGGGGTTACTTACAGGAGTGTGGGTGAGGGGTTACTTACAGGAGTGTGGGTGAGGGGTTACTTACAGGAGTGTGGGTGAGGGGTTACTTACAGGAGCAGCTGCATCAGCAAGGTCTACCCCAGCATGGCTCACAGCTCACAAAAACCAGGAACCCCGGCGCGCACTATGTAGCCTGCAGGCAGCTCAGCAGATTGGAGAGAGTCCTTTCCAAGTGACTCTGGTCTAACCTTTTCAAGCAGCTTAACTGATTTCTGCTTCTCCCAGGCAGCTGGTCTAGTGTGTGCACGCCACCCCATCCCCCACCCCAGCTTCCTTCCTTCTGAGAGGGACTCTCGGCTGTCTTTATTGCTTCCTCTAGCACGGAGGGGCCAAGTGAGTCTGGTCAGTTTCAGAGACTTCCTGAAGCTATTTTGAGTTATTTATCTAACTTCAGGATGGAATGTTTTAATCCCCGAGGAAAGTGCTACCCAGGTAAAGTAGATACTTTGATCAAGTCCTTTTCTAGATGCTAGGGACTCAACAGTGAGCCAAATAAGTGGGGGAAATGCCCTGACCTTAGGCTGCTTATCCTAATGTAGGAATGAACAACTTAAGTAACTGAGTAGCATGTTGAATGGCATGTGCTGACATGAAAGACAGAGAGAGGACTGCTTGCTGGCTGTAGGGGTGCAATTTTATTTTTCCTTTAATCTCTCTCTTTCCCTCTCCCTCACCCCCCCCCCCGTGTGTGTGTGTGTGTGTGTGTGTGTGTGTGTGTGTGTGTAACTTACAAGAGTGCATTTTCTTCTTCCATTGAGTCCTGTGGTGACAACCTCAGGTCATCAGACTTAGTGTCAGGTGCCTTTACCTGCTAAGCCATCTTACTGGCCTAGAGCTGTGGTTTTAAAGAGGTGATCAGAAAAAGTCTCATAAAGGTTTGGAGTGAGGAAGTTGCCACCATATAGAACATTCATGATACACAAAGGAAGCATGGTATAAGCAGTTGTTTCTAGTGGCAGAGTCTACAAAAACAAAAGCAACAATGAACTTGCAAATGCCCTAATTTCCAAGAAGCTAAAAAAATACTCATTTTTTTATTTCACATGTATGTAAACTTCATTCTTTTATTCAATATGACATTTCTTTTTAAAAGTTAGCATAATTAAAATGTGATAATGCTGACTTTAAAATAAAATCAAGCTGCCTAAACATTTAGCTGCTGTCTAATAGTATGGTAGTATACTTAGACCTCAGCACTAGCCCCTTGCTTGTATGTTTGGCTGGTTAGTTTGGTAGGACCCCTACGAATGGCACTGCCTCCCTATGTAGATAGCCCAGGACTCGAACCTGAAATCCTCCTGCCTCAGACTTCTGAGTGCTGGAATTATAGGTGTGTGTTACCAAACTTGGATCATATATATATTTCTACCTAAAGACATAAAATTGTAGGTGCTAGAGGTAAATCTGGTTTGCTGCTGTTGTTTGTTTTGCTTTTTCTTTAAATAGAGCTAGTCTAGCAACAGGAACACTCTATTTTTAATTTCTAAATATTGATACTTTCAAGTAGACCACACTTACTATTCTCCAAAGTGTAGTTTCAGAGCACTAGCAAGTGCTCATTTGAAAAAATAAATTTCTAAAGTCAAAGGCTTATTTTTAATTACCTTTTTCAGAGAGTCATAGTTCACACCAGCATTAAAAGTTCTGAGAAATCCTGTGACAAATGTGTTTGAATTTGCTTGAAAATGCTCACCTTTTCCCAGATAGCTTTGTCTATGGGAACTCCTGCATAATGTCTATTAATAAATGTGTCAGAGAACTGACATGCCACAATTTAGAAGCAACTGCTATAGGAGACAGTAAGAGCTGCTTTTCAAAAGCTATTTTTCCACATCCCTGGTATCTACAGTTTGAGAACACTGTAACTCACATGACCTTGCCTGCCTAGTGTGCATGATAAAACTTCCCTCTTTAAAAAAAAACGAGTTCTACAGTTAAATTCCATGGTATCTGTAAGGCTTTGCCAGAAGTCCATGTCCTTAAGAATCCCCAGATACGATGATGGAGCTCGAGGAGGAGGAGAAGGAGGAGGAGCAGGAGGAGGAAGAGGAGAAAGAAGAGAAAGAGGAGAAGGAGAAGGAGGTGATAGAGGTGGTGGAGGTGGCAGAGGAGGAGGAGGTGATGGAGATGTGGAGGTGATGGAGGTGATGGAGGTGTGGAGGTGATGGAGGTGATGGAGATGTGGAAGTAACCGAGGTGATGGAGGTGGTGGAGGTATGGAGGTGTGGAGGTGATGGAGGTGTGGAGGTGATGGAGGTGTGAAGGTGATTGAGGTGTGGAGGTGATGGAGGTGTGGAGGTGATGGAGGTGATGGAGGTGATTGAGGTGATGGAGGTGTGGAGGTGATGGAGGTGATTGAGGTGTGGAGGTGATGGAGGTGATGTAGGTGTGGAGGTGATGGAGGTGATGGAGGTGATGGAGGTGTGGAGGTGATGGAGGTGAGGAGGTGGTGGAGGTGAGGAGGTGGTGGAGGTGATGGAGGTGATGGAGGTGATGGAGGTGTGGAGGTGATGGAGGTGTAGAGGTGATGGAGGTGTGGAGGTGATGGAGGTGTGGAGGTGATGGAGGTGTGGAGGTGATGGAGGTGATGGAGGTGTGGAGGTGATGGAGGTGATGGAGGTGATGGAGGTGTGGAGGTGATGGAGGTGTGGAGGTGATGGAGGTGTGGAGGTGATGGAGGTGTGGAGGTGATGGAGGTGATGGAGGTGATTGAGGAGTGGAGGTGATTGAGGTGATGGAGGTGTGGAGGTGATGGAGGTGTGGAGGTGTGGAGGTGATGGAGGTGATGGAGGTGATTGAGGAGTGGAGGTGATTGAGGTGATGGAGGTGTGGAGGTGATGGAGGTGATGGAGGTGTGGAGGTGATGGAGGTGTGGAGGTGATGGAGGTGTGAAGGTGATGGAGGTGTGGAGATGATGGAGGTGATGGAGGTGTGGAGGTGATGGTGGTGATTGAGGTGTGGAGGTGATTGAGGTGTGGAGGTGATTGAGGTGTGGAGGTGATGGAGGTGTGGAGATGATGGAGGTGTGGAGGTGTGGAGGTGATGGTGGTGATTGAGGTGTGGAGGTGATTGAGGTGTGGAGGTGATGGAGGTGTGGAGGTGATGGAGGTGTGGAGGTGATGGAGGTGTGGAGATGATGGAGGTGTGGAGGTGATGGTGGTGATTGAGGTGTGGAGGTGATTGAGGTGTGGAGGTGATTGAGGTGTGGAGGTGATGGTGGTGATTGAGGTGTGGAGGTGATTGAGGAGTGGAGGTGATTGAGGTGATGGAGGTGTGGAGGTGTGGAGGTGATGGAGGTGATGGAGGTGTGGAGGTGATGGAGGTGTGGAGGTGATGGAGGTGTGGAGGTGATGGAGGTGTGGAGATGATGGAGGTGTGGAGGTGTGGAGGTGATGGTGGTGATTGAGGTGTGGAGGTGATTGAGGTGTGGAGGTGATTGAGGTGTGGAGGTGATGGAGGTGTGGAGGTGTGGAGGTGATGGAGGTGTGGAGGTGATGGAGGTGATGGAGGTGATTGAGGTGTGGAGGTGATGGAGGTGTGGAGGTGATGGAGGTGTGGAGATGATGGAGGTGTGGAGGTGTGGAGGTGATGGTGGTGATTGAGGTGTGGAGGTGTGGAGGTGATGGAGGTGATGGAGGTGTGGAGGTGATGGAGGTGATGTAGGTGTGGAGGTGATGGAGGTGATGGAGGTGATTGAGGTGTGGAGGTGATGGAGGTGTGGAGGTGATGGTGGTGATTGAGGTGTGGAGGTGATGGAGGTGATGGAGGTGATTGAGGTGTGGAGGTGATGGAGGTGTGGAGGTGATGGAGGTGTGGAGGTGATGGAGGTGTGGAGATGATGGAGTTTTGGAG